ACTAAAAAACCAAACTGACTGCTGTCAAGTCGTTTTCGACTGATAGCGACCCCTCCTTGGGTTTCTGAGGTGGTATCTCTACGGAAGTAGATCACCCAATCTTCCTTCTGAGGAGTGGCTGGTGGGTTTGAATCGTCAGACTTCTGCATAACAGTCAAATGCCTAGGGTTTCTAATATCTACCTTTTAACTCAGAAATTCCATTCCTAGTATTTACTCTAAAAGAATAAAAACATATGACAAAAGATTTCTTCGAGAATGCTCCTAAAGCATTGGAAACAAGTCCATGAAAAGAATAGACAAAACAAATAGTGGTACATCCTTATAATCAACACCACTCAGGATCCTGTTAATACAGAGAACAAGAATTAATTCTAAAAGCATTACATTGACTGAAAGAAGTCAGACACTTAAGAGTAACATAGCTATCTGGTTCAATTTGTATGAAATCCAAGAACAGGCAAAAGTACTCTGTGGGTCTCGAGTAAGTAGCCTACCACGTAACCTGCCAATTTTGGGTTTGTCAGACCCTGCAACCTTGTGGTCAGGAGAAGCCTTCAGCATGACACCTAACCCAAGGATCTGGGACTTGCCAGGCTCCACAACAGCATGAGCCATTTCTTTGACATAAAGCTCTCTATTTCTATATATGCTTCACTGGTTTTGCTCCAGCCAAAGACACTGTTATTCAAGGATAAAGTCATGGAATGTAGTTCATGCCTAGAATATATTTCCCAGGAGTCCTTTTTGAAGATACTGCTAAAGCTCAAATTTTAACTCTCTCTTTTCCTCTCCCTCTCTCTCAAGGTCTAGTCAGGTAAATAGAAGCTACCCTATGCACAGACAGTTCTCTTTTTTGTATAATTCATTTGTGCATCATATCAACAGGTAGATGATGTCAATTTGTTCCATACTAAGGGTGGTAACTTTTTTTTTTAATTGTGATTTGGGTGAAGATTTACAGAGCACATTCACTTTCCATACAGCAGTTCACATATACTTTGTCTCATGTCATTGACCACAGTTTACCACA